TTGAAAACTGAATGGTTATTACAGACTGAGTGTCTTGTGGCGATTCAGAATCAGTAGGGATGTAATCCTTATAATAGATTCTTTCTCCAAGCTGAGCGGTTGAGGTTGTAGAAACACTGGAATTAATTGTCAGGCTGTTCATAGGAGAGTTGATGGTAATCGATTCATTTCGTAAGTGACTATCGAAGCGAAGGGCGTTTTCTTTTGTTTCGAATAATACATTGATTTTGAGAGTGGGTTTGTTTTCCTCATAAAAGAAAGCTGGTTGCCCTGATTCGTAGTAACCAAGATGGTTATCAGCATTTCGATACATACGAGAACAAACACCTTTTACGGCTAAGGAATCCGAGAGAGCGCCAGAAACTTTCCAATACGTTGGTATACCTTTTCTGACAAAGTCATTGATTCCTACGGTAGGACCATGAACAATACCTGACTTGATGACAAGTGGTTGGTCGTAGGAACCAACTGGATGCTGAATGGAGGTCAACAGAGTATTCCCGGGAATGGCTGGACCATCCACCACAAAATGGATGGTGAGGTCTCCAACAAAAGCAGAAGCAAGAGGAGAGTTGGGAAGTGCTTGGAAAGCAGCAATCAGTTTCGATACACTGTCAAGTGGTCTTTTTCTTTCTAGTTCTCCATTGAAGTGGGTTTCGATTTCCACTGGCTGATAGTCCAGATATTTGATGTAAAACCTTTCATTTTCCATTGTAGTTTACTGAAGAGAAATGAAAGAATTGAATGGAATGAAATAGAATAAGAATGGAATGAAGAAAAGAATAAAAAAGAAAAGAAAAAATTGGACTTTAAATCCAAAACTCGATATCATGTGAATAATGTGAGACAAATTCACACTTTGAATAGTGTTTAAACATTTGTCATGTGATTATTTGTATTGTTTAATAAAGTGTCAATTCAACTCAATAATTGATTACGTCATTCATATAATGACTCGAGTCTTTTATTCAACATTTTAATATTCAATTATTGTTAATCAGTCAATTGTTGGATTAGTAAATATGTTACAAAACATGCATTTATATGCTGAATCTGACAAGTGGATAATAATTGTTTCAATCAACAATTGGATTGAATTGACTGCAATATTGTCATTGATTGCAGTCACTGTTGACCAATACATTGTAATACATTGACAGTTTTGACATCAACATTGTCATTCATGTCAAGTTGTGTGTAGTTGCTAATATTACACCACAACAATACTGTGTCAACTTTCGAGTCCTGTGATACACTATTTCAACTATGACTGGATCGATGTTGACCATTTGTCAATACACGGGTCAGTTGTATAATCGTACAACTGTTGGTTAACCAATGTTTGACTGTCGATATTTGAATCATGAATATTGTCCAACATAATTGTCACTAACATTGTCGTTGTCGTTTGATTGCCTTGTTCTATGAATAATCATTGCAATGTCATTTGTTCAGTTGTTGTTGGTTTATTGAAACCATGTCACAATTCTTGATATATTGCACATGATCTTGTAATTGTTGGTGTTGTCTGTAGTAATTCTGTCAATGTATACAAATGTCACTTGTTGCTAATTGGTAGTTGTTTATGACTGATATACAACCAATCAGGTTTGGTGACCATTCTATGCACATATATTTGACATTATATCGGACTGTTATGTTGTTTGATCCAATAGTAGTATATGCCAGTCATACTATAATACTACAGGTTTGTTGCAATATCCATACAACCTATATCCAAAACTGCACAAACACTGTCATTCAAGATTGATGAGTATACAATCACAAATGAATCCAACGCATTTTTGCTGTATATAGTTGTATCGGCTGTCGTGTATGTTGGCTTGTCTGTTGACTTGACTAGATCTGATATTACACGGACTATTCAACAATTGTATTGAATTCCGGTTAGTATCGAGTCATTTGAGTCGTTCAAGTAGTCAAGTTGCTTGGTTTGCAATGTGTTGTGTCCAGGAATCACTTGCAATCAAACCATTACCAAACCACAGGTTAACAACACCAAATGATATATGACTGGTTATATTAACACATTATAAACACTCGACGAATTAGCCATGAATCAGGTTCAATCATCAACCGCCAATATTGTCAAAGTGTGTATTCCTGGTTTAGTTGATGATGATCCGAGTATGCGGTATTCGTCACAGTTTGATTTGGTCCAAACAGGTTTTGTAATGGTTTCAACAATATCTGATGAATGACATGCTACAATCGCAGTATATTGATATTACCGCATGATACAACTGTTTGGTTGACCAAACGACTCGAATGTTGATGGATTATTATGCCAATCGACTGTTTTGACCTGATATCACCACACTTGACATGCCAACACATGCGACATATGATGGAGTGATGGAAATACTCGAAATACACACAATACAACTCTTGCAGCAGTGTATGAAACTATCAAGCATGACATGGTATGACATGAATGGTGTGGATTAGACTTGATAACAATGTGTACAATTTGGACTTTTAAATTCGGAAATAGCAGCTCTGTTCCAACATCACATTGATTGTAAATATCGATGTTGTTTAACCTTGTACAAATGACCATTTCACATGCAACTTTAGCCTGATGTTGAGTATTTTCAAATGAATGCAAGCTTGCGACACTCGCTTGACTCGTTTGGCTCGGATTCTGGCTGATATTTACGATATCGATGCAAAGTTACATTCCAGAATGAATGTGTATAATCTGATGTGGGAAATCGTTTGGTTTCATTGTTATCGGTCATTGACACCAGTTATTGTGTTGATTGCAAATAGTAGTCCAAGTAATCATGCATAAACAAATACCAGATAGTCACTGATAAACTGATAGTATCCAATGTATACATGACACATTGTATAGTTACATTTAATTGCCAGCAATGTGTGATTGGATTACTCGAGTCATCAAGCAGTTTTCAAACAGTTGTCAAAAACAATCAAGTCATGTCCAATAAACTGTCTGATGTGCAGGTGTTTTGGCATTGGTCCGTTGGTCCATTAGTACGATTGTTGGTTGGCAATTCGGACTTGTAAATGACAATTGATTCTTGATTGTTGCATTGGTGTCCATATGTGTCCATATGTGACTCATTGTATACGGAACAGGGCTGACAAGTGTGTCTGAATTGATGACAGATGATACAGCCTATCCAACAGAAAGTAATACATTGGTCGTGTCTGCGTGGAAATAAGCTTTATAACTCACACTTCTGAATGTATGAGAATCAACTTTCAAACAACGAATACGTCCAATGACTCTTGCAAATGCATTGATAGAGTGTTGAATAATTCGAGTGTTTACAAATCAGCATCACTGGAAATAGTTACTGTTATTCAGACAGTCAGTTGTCCAGACATTACAGTTGTAATATTACACATTTTCCATTGTTGCTGGATACCAATATGCCTACATTTAAAGATGAATGCTACCAACAAAATATTCCATTAGAACTGCAACTGTTGCTTCAAGATCATGGACATATCGTTGTAAATCGTTTCAAATATCAGTCTGTTACCCCATTTTAAACCAATCCATCAATCTCTGATTTGGCTCGCTCAATACTCTCCAGCAACTTGCATTCCATTCCTACAACGACTTGTTCATCGTATCCATGTTTACAGCGTTTGTTGTTTTGACTGCGATTTGTATCAACCCAGAATAATGGAATTTACCATTTCCTTTGTAGAGTTTGTCCATAATGTCTGTTTTAATGTAGTTTTTGACTGTTTTTGGATACAAAAGTCGACAATCATTGCTTTATCATCGACTTGACCGCAGTTTGATGAGTTGACAGCACAATCGCATATACACAGGATACGAAATATCAAATCCAATTAAAGTTGGGTATTGTTTGCTGTATCCTTGTCAACTCGGACAATAGCACCACATGGCAATACTTGATAGCAATGTAGACTGTTTTGGTGCTGTGAGATGCAATGATAAAACGAGTTTCAGGACCCATTCCAATATGATGCAGCATATTGCAGACAAACAGTTCATTTGTATCTGGTTGCCTGATACTTTTTACATTGTATTGTGTGGGTCTGTACTGACGAGTCTTGATGTAGCAACAAACAGTGAGTTGTTGTTGACATTCCAAGCGAATCTGGTCTGGATTCCGTTTTTCTTTGGAGATAATGAGATGTCAAACAACTAGTCAATGTCAGCCTTGCAGTGTTGAATGACAGTATTGATTGACAGCAGTTTGAATCGGTTCCGTATTTCCATCCAGATACTGTGATATTGGCAAGAAGGATCTTGCAGAGTTGTTGGTTGTTGATGGGCAAGTTGGATATAAAGTTGTTTTCAATCAATCCGTTGACAATCATGATAGCATACTTTGATTTGTATGTACGCAATACTACTGTCATCTTGTGTATGGTGTTTTCTATTCCTACAAACGCATTCCATTTCCAGCTGTTTTCTTTGTAGACATTTGATATTGTGTAACAATGAGGGTGTAAAATGTAGTACAGAAATAGACGACTAAATTACAATTATTTCAACGGATTTAGCACTCTTGTTCAAGTAAAACGGTATCATCCGATGCTCATTATACACTACTTGTACGTTGAATCATGCCAATCACTTGCTACTTTAACAAGCATGGAATATCACGGCACATATTGATGACCAACTAATAGCCGAGTGTCAACTCATTCCAGTTTTGGTTTATGTTCATTTCTTGACCCTAACCCTTGACCATAGCCATTTTGAGGGTGAGGCTTTATAATCAACCATATGATATTCGAATGTATGGACAAATAGCGGCTCAACCAAGGTTATAGGTCACCATATAAAGGGATATCCCTTCAAAGTTTGGCATTGATAACAAATCACCATTCAACCCTGACAACACTAACCCTTAAAACGGTCATTCAAGGGATATGCTTTTAATATTATTTATTCAATAATGTATATAAATACAATCCAAAACTGACCTGTTGAATGCCATTACAACTTGCTCAACCAAACCAGTAGAATGAAACTCGCAGTTGCTGTATTGTCATCGATCTTGCTTGCCTGCTCAGTTACTACAGCCAATCCAATCGATCCCAGTGCAACTACAGATGTTGAAACTAGCACTTCAACATTCATTCCCAGTGCAACTACAAGTACTGAAGCTAGCACCTCGCCAACTCCTAATCCAAACGGTATAGGTTTAGGTGGTCTTGATCAACTTCCAGATAGCATCAAGGAATTGCTCGAAAAATACGTAAGGCTAAGTCATGATCTTAATCAGCAAGGAAAAATATGCGACCCGTTAAAACCTGAATATGACAGCCAGATTATGCTGGTAATAGACTTGAAAACAAAGATTGAAGTTTTGGAAGAAAAATCTCAAACAAGCGGCGGCAGTCCAGAATATGATGGTGAAATTCAGAAGACTAAGCTTGATCTCGAAGCCCAAAGATCCAAACTTGAGGATATTGAAAAACGCTATAATGAGTGCCAGCTCAAGAAAAATGGTCTTGAATCTGAAATATATTTGACCAAAATGAGGCTCGTGTATCTCGTTTTTGGAGATTCTTCAAATTTTAGATTATTTGATCAGCAACTTTATCTTATCAACAAGCACCCTTCCGTTAAAGGTTACCTTGGCGAATTATCATTAGAATACAGTAAGACTCCTGGTCAAAGCTCTAGTGGTCAACAACATCAAGAGTCGCAACCATCATCAAGTAGACCATCTGGATCTGGATCCTCTAGACAGAAAGCTCCCTCCAATAAACGGAAAAGGGTTTCCAAGCTTATGAGTGAATTAAAATCACACTTTAAACGACCCGAAAGTGAAGATCGCGAACCATTGATTTGAATGTTAATCTGGACTTGTTTCAACCGATTCAATTGTCATTATGGTTTAATTTACAATAAATTTGGATTTACATGCATTGTATCTGATCATTGTACACCGACACTTGTATGTTTCAATACGATACAGTTTACATATTGCATAGTTGTACACATTGATGATGCTGACATGCATGTGTGTATTCATGTAACCAGACATAACAAGGACTGCTACCATTCAAGATGACACGTTGGTTTATTATAGACAACTACGTTGATGAGTTGAATGATGACTCAATCAAGATCACCAAGCGCACAGTACAACTGTCGAGCAGCTTTAAAGTAAGCGAGTGAATCGAGTGTACAGCCAATACGATCAACGTGGTTGAAAAATACTGGTTCTGAACGGTAATTGAAAACGTATCAATAGACGAGTGACTATAATAGTAGGCAAATCATGTCAGACTGATAAATGTCCACAAGTCAAAAATAGCCAAATTGAGTTTAAGATGGAGTGGATCTACTTGAGCAAGATTGATTCAATTGATTTGATGACTGGTTTCGTTCCAGGTGAGTTTTTGGTTGGGACGGTTTGCTTTCTTGTATTTAGCATTGTCATTGTTAGGATTGGTTTGATGGATGCAAGTTGGATGGTTATTCATTGAGTGCTGATGGTCTGATTGTACAGTCTAGTTTCAAAATGACTGGTTAGCCAAAATCACTCGTGTTTTATTTTATGCCAGGAGTACGCATTTTATGTTATATTGTGTTCATCAACAACACGATAAATGTGGAATCAGTTGTAATGTTCAAGAGGCTTACTGTCTTGAGTGATTCGCTTCACTTTGTATAGTTTTGTCATTCAAACGGTCAGTCAGTAATCAGTCTGCAGTATTTATGGGTTGCTGCTCTAGGTTATAATTTGCTGGAGCATGTTTAATATGGAAACATTGCTAGTTTGATTGAATGGTCAATTGTATATTACTGATCACTTTGTTGGTGACCAGTATCACATGTGGTCAATATCAATATGCTGTACAACAGTCATTCAAACAGGTTGGAGCATGCCACATTGTAGCAATGCAACCAACTTGGTACAACATATGCCAACATACATGTAGTGTATTGTAGTATACACTAGTAGTGATGATTCGACCAACGACATGCGTGGTTGTAATATTATACGTGAAACCACATGCTCATGTCCATGTCCATGATTATGGGGACATACAGCATTACAATGATTGGTTAGCAACAATGTAATGGAACTGGATGTGCAATATCAAAACCATGTCCAGAATACGTGATATAACAACAACTTGCAGCCATATTGACATAAATGGACCACTGAATAACAGTGTTGGTGTGTAATAAACAGTTGCATTACTGGCATGTGTCATGATTGTTGTTGAACTAGATTGTGATCGTATTTGTGATTCAGAATACAACAAATGAGTACAAAGTTGTATTGGCAACATTGACAGTCAAACACAATACATGAATGTGGATTCAAACTTGGTGATCGTACAATGCATGATTACTAAGAGTGCACAAAATGTAGATTCAACACTATAGTCTGATTGTGTGTCATATGATGGTTGTTGTATATCAAACACGCAATTGCAGTCAATGTGTAGTACCAGTCAACCGGATATACAATCATTGTATATCCCAAATCAAAGTCATTGCATGATGAGTACAGTTGTAAAAGGGAGCGTTTGCGGTTACACAACACTTTTGAAGGGTGATTTTCAAAATACCTGATAGAAGGGTCATAAAAGCATAATTCAATTGACATTATCATCAAATTTATCAATATGATATTATGGATAGGGAGCACCACACTGTTTAGTTTGATATTGGTTCATTTCATTACAAGCAATCAAGTAGTCCTATATAATTGGTTAACCTAAAAGGGTTAGGGTTGGTTTGCTATACAAAACATACAAATACAATCAATTGAGTTCAACTTTATAATTGACACGTTTCAACACTACTTTTGTATTAATAGTTTAAACCCATTGATCGGCTTGATGAAATTGGTTGATATTTTATTCGTATTGACTGCTGCAGCAACCGCTAATGCAATACTGATCCCAAGTGATAACAATGGTTCACCCCAAGCATCAGTCACTTCTAGTCAAGTGTCTGGTCCAACTGATGAACCTAGTTCAGGAACTTCTGACGACTGGCAAAGTATAATGGATGAGCTTGATTTAAGCATTCTTGACAAAGACCAACAACAACCAATGGATGAATCCAGTTCAGGAACTTTCAACCAAGTGTCTGGTTCAATCAATGAGCCTATTCCACAAATTCCCGAAGATGACTGGCAAGAAATAATGGATATAATTCATTCAAAAAACCCCAACCAAAACCAACAGCAACCAATTGATGAGCTCAGTCTAGGCATTTCCAGTCAAGTGTCTGGTTCAATCAATGAGCCTATTCCACAAATTCCCGAAGATGACTGGCAGGAAATAATGGATATAATTCATTCAAAAAAACCCAACCAAAACCAACAGCAACAAAACCAGCAAGACCCAATTGATTTAGTTGATCCAAGTACTTCCAAACAAGGTCAAAAACGACCAATGGATGAATCCAGTTCAGGAACTTTCAACCAAGTGTCTGGTTCAATCAATGAGCCTATTCCACAAATTCCCGAAGATGACTGGCAGGAAATAATGGATATAATTCATTCAAAAAAACCCAACCAAGACCAACAGCAACCAATTGATGAGCTCAGTCTAGGCATTTCCAGTCAAGTATCTGGTTCAATCAATGAGCCTATTCCACAAATTCCCGACGAAGACTGGCAGGAAATAATGGATATAATTAATTCAAGCACTTCCAACCAAGACCAGCAACAACCAATGAACGAAGCTGATTCTGCCAGTACTAGTTCAAGTCGAATGATTATATTGAACGAAAAATATCAGATAACCTTTGATCGCTTGAGAAAAAGACTCGAGTTGTCTAAAGAAATACGAAACAAAAAACGCCAAGAATATCATAAATTTATGACTTTTGGATACAGGAAATGGTCGGCGTTAGCAATGGGCAAAGAGATACATGGATCAAAGTATAACCCAGAGGATGAAATCCGATTGAAACAAGAATATGTAGCGGTAAGGAATAGAGTAGCCAGTGTCAGAAAGGAATTGAAAAAGTTTACGGAAAGGCATGGTTTAGAATTTGATGAGCCAGATTCAGATTGATGATGTGCCAATAAATTTGATTTTGAATAAATTTAAACTTTCTGATGTTAAAGCAATCAGACATTGACCGTTTACGTACAGTTCAAATGATTAGTGTGTATCTGTTGTAATATCCAAGCAGTATATCTCTAAGCTTTAATCATTAACAAGCAAGCAGTAGTACTTGCATTGCACACTCCCTAATTTATCCAAGATCAAATAAAAATAGTCTCTCAAATAACCCTGAAACTATTTATTAATCTCATATCTATTTTGTTGATTCAACTCATTTGACAACTTCCTGATTATCGTCCAAGCTCTCTTTTGACCAGTCTTTTGCATAGCAGCAAATTACATTACATTATACATATTGAAAGACTCGTATCTTTCAGTTTGTTTTACTTTTACAATAAAAACCTATACTCATTAATAAAAATAATGTGATGTGACGTTCAATGTCAGTCTGTAGTATGTCAATGGAATATGTGCGAATATTAAACATGGGTTTGTGGATACTGTCAAATTGTCAAAACCAACCGGATCATTCGTATCAAATAGTCCAGTGGTACCAATGAGTTGGTGTCAAATGGAATGGGTTGACTGGTAATCCCAAATGACAAATATACACAATCGCATGGATTCAGCAGTGGTACTGCAGTGATCAATACAATGCATGGTAGTTGAATGGTGTAGTATGATCAAACCATTAGTCTAATACACTATGGTTTGGCAATACACGATGTTTATTGAATGAACGACATCGAGTGTATGACAAATGACAAGTAAACCAACATGCAATACACGCTGCATTACAACATATGCTGGATGATGGCCCATTTTGAGTTGCAACAATGTGACGAGTCTATGATTGAAAAGTTTGTTGCTGAACACCAGAATCTTGAAAAGTTGCATCATGCTCGGATTGTGGCAAGCATTGTGACAAGCGATTGTAGAAATACTTAAGGCAATCCTGATATCCGTAAAGTGATTTTGGTGGACTATAATCATCATCCGGTGATACTCCAAACGAAGAATGGCTTGTAAGTTTTTTTGTTAATTTTCTAATTTCTTTCCTCTTATGCGAAAGTTTCGAAGCGTAGTCATGCATAGTATATTTGGTTCCTTCACAAATTTGACGAAACTCCTCATAATTGGCTTTAGCAGAACTCAATTTCCGACTCGGAACTTGACTCATACTATTGAGCTTTTCCTTCTTTCTAACACCCAATCCTTCTCGAATAGCAAGCTCAAAACGTCTGTCTTCAAGTAGTCTAAACACTTTCGTAGATTTAACCCGAGCTTTTGCAATTTCTTCGATCAACGACACTTCAGTAGCATCGAGTTGACCGCAATATTTCTTAAATTTATATAAGCTAGGAGATTTTGGAGAGTCAGATCCATCAGCTGAAGCTCCGCTTGAAGAGGCTGTCGGAGTGCTAGCTTCAGCACTCATGGTCGAACTGGGATCAACTGGATTGGCAATCGTAACCGAGCAGACAGCAAGGATTGATGACAGTACGGTGATTGATAGTTTCATTGTATTGGTTTGGTTGAGCTGTTAGACATTGGTAATGTATGACATTTGTAATAGGACCCAGACAGTCAGAATGGGGTCTAGTAACAAGCAGTGTATAAACAAGTAAGCTATACAATGCTTAGATATGGTGATGACCGTTGTCTCACTTTATGCAAAGACTGTAACGCTTGGGAACCCTTAACGGTGAAGCTTAGGAGTGACGTTTATACCGTCACTAATTCACCACTAATACTTACTATATATAAGAGACAAAGTTCTCTTATCAATAAATAATCACAACTATTCTGATTCATTCCTTCTTCTTGTCTTACATCTCTGTGATCTTCCTTCAAACTTATACTACATCAATATGTCACTATACGTTAATGAACAACATGAGCAAGTTGTAATGAATGTGATTCAACACGATAGTTTGGTGTCATATTTGTATACATTATTAGATTGATAATATTAAAAGCATATTCCATGAATGACCGTCCTAAGGGATTTGTGTTGTCGGGGTTAGCATTGATTTACTGCTATGAATGTCAACATAACTTTAAAGGGATCCCCTTTATACAATTGCCCATTGCTTGATTTAAACCCTGATATCAGGGTTAGCGACCAGAGTATATTGTCGCACTATGATGTCGCTACACAATATATTCTAGGTGATATCACCACATGACAATACACAAGCAATATTGTACATCCACTCCATTTATGCTGCAAACACTCGAGATCTCATCTGTTCGACAACACATTGTCACCAATACAATAGTATGTGACATGATCATATTGCACCAATCGACCAATATACGATCACTGGATACACCACACGTTGATGTTTACCACTGTATATGTGGTGTATATTGGTTATAGTCCATGATATCAACGAGTTTATGCATACTGCTTACACCACACATCATACACATTAAACCGACTCAGTGATATGCAAGTGTTGCGGTTTGACCAAATCACAATCACCCATATTGTCGACTGTCTAACTCGTTGACATTCAAACCGTGCCATCACTAGTCACAATATAATGGTTGACTGGTTCGTTTGATTGATCTGACATTGACACTTTGCAAACCTCGACTTGATTCATCAACTTGGATATTCATATAATATTGGGTTTGTATCATCACGTTGGACTCGTTATCAAACACCTTGATGTGTCCATGCAACACAAACTCGATATACACACATTGGTTACTGTTTGACATGACTGGGTTGATCATCAATACCAGACAATGCAACTGTATTAGTTGTATGATACAATCAATCATGGTTGGTTCATCACCATTAAATATCAAATGTTGATCACGTATACATTGATTTGTAATTGCATGGTCCGTTGGTAATACACACTATGATATGATTGACAAGTTGTTGATTTGCAGTAATCAGATGTGCATCACCTGTAACATTGGATGTAATTGACGAGTTGTAACCGCCAGTCAACAATCATCGATATGTTGGTGATTGTATTGACTACATGATTGGTATTGATTAGCTGTCATGATCGATTGGTGAGCAATACAATCCACATTATGACGTGTTGCAACTGATTGATATATGCAGACTCGACTGATGATCGAGTATATGTTGATGTGTAACTCTGTCACTGTTTGTCTTGATTGGTTATTGCTACTGCTTGTATATGCAGTGTATTCATGTGTGATGTATTGGATATCGGTGTTGTGTATGTTGAACCTGTTGGATAATATATTGTCATGTCGCATCAAATCGCACCACATTTAGACTGCAATCATTGATTCGTTGGTTTAATGATCGACTCGACTCACATTCGACTGTAATGGCCACAAATCTGCATTGCTGATTGACAGGAATATATCAACATGTATCAGACTCGAACATGGTGTATATCAGTTGCATATACCAATCACTGATGTAATTGATGATGATCGATTAGTCAATCAATTCGATATCAACACCAATGTCAGTTCATTACCACATGGATACTCGCAGTTGTGACCTGTATTCAGTCAGTAATATTGGTTCATGTAGTGTATTGTATAGTCAACCATGCACATACACATGCATGTCATTGTCAATTGATGGTCGTTTGTAAACAACTTGTGGACAACTTGCAAATATTACAATCATGGTGATTGCTTGAATGTCGATACCAAACCATGCATTTGATGGTCATTTACTGTTCAGTTTACTGTTCAACAATGCAAATGGTCGTTGTCTACCAATCAGTCGAGTCGTAGACATAAACTGCACATTGTGCGTATCGCTTTGTTCATGACCAAACTGTAACAATGTGCACTTTGCATTGTATTTGAACTGCAATCTGCGACTTGTACGCATTATGATGCATTGTTTCAATATTCATGTTGCATTCATCAACATCAACGTGCAGTGTCGATCTGATGTTTGGTGTTGATGTTGTGTTGATATTCCAACAACACTGAATATCGCAAATCAGGTCAGCATTGACTCGTGTGATAATAATCCATGGACAGTCAGTTGTACCAAACTGTTGTACAAACATATTGACATTCGATCAATCAAAAGTAGTATAGATAGAACACCCGATGATACCAGTTTTTTAACCGACACTTACTGCTAAATCATGTACAAAGTTGTCAAAACATAAATTATTCGCAGAAAGGAATTCAAGTCAAAAGTATTAGGGTAGAATAGTCAATAGCTTTGCTTGTAATTCATAATAAATACGAGCTATTTGTGCCAGACTCATACTTGATGCCTCAAATTGGATACAATGGGTAGTTTTTTAACCAGTACTAAGCGTTAATATACACATCAGACTGGGTTTAGCTGGATCTTGTTGTAAGAATGATAGAGTATAAAATCAAACCATTGACAAGTCCGTGTTTATCGAGTACGAGTCTTTATATTTCCAATCAACTCTTCCAAATGTGATATTGTGTCTTGCAATGCCAAAATGGATTCAAATTTGCTTGATTACACTATGCATTTGGACATCATTGCTGATCTGTTGAATTTCACGCTTTCTTTGATCATCTTTTTGATACTCTAGCATATTCCATTCATGATTGTGTCTAACCTCCAACTATTGATCCTGGCTCATCCCTGGTTGTTTTTGTCAATACCATTGATTGGGAATAAAACCAGAATCAACCCGCTGTTTATCACGTATGGCTATTTGATTCAATTCAGTTGCAAACAATTATTTGTAAGAGTATACTTTCTGGTACTCCTTGTATAATACCAGCATCTCTTGAAACAGCTGCTTTTGTGCTTGTAACAATCCCTGCAGTGTTTTGTCAGCTGGGAATTTGATTCAAGTTTGAAAACCAAGACTATCGATCGGACAAATCCAATGTCAACCAAACTGCTGTACAGTTTGGCAGTCAATTGATTGACCATAATTATAAGCAACAAAACAACTTTTATTTGCAAAAGAAAAAGGAAAACGCAGTTTGTTCTTGAATCAAAATATTAGTTTCAAAACTGTATGGTGAAAAACAGTCTTGGGATATGCAATTATTTACAAGAAACTATAGGTTTCAAAACCAAAGCGATTAAATTACACGATTGGGAAGTTCCTGACAATGAAAGTGGTCATTTCCACAAAGTGAGGTTTGTTGTCCAATGGAACCCATACGATATTATTCACCTTTAAGAAATCAAACGCCGTGCATTGTGTAGAACGAGGTCGAGAAACAGAGTTAGGATTAGCGTTATGCAGCCAATAAAAATCATTAATTCTAGTCTACATACCTTATTGATGAGATGGTTCAAACGTCAAAACAAATCGAGTCAACTTCTCAACACTCGCAATAGTATTGTTTTGTGACAACACTTGACCATCTGTTCCGTGGTAGCTTTGGCGTGTAAAACAGGCAAAACGATCAGGAGGTACAACACAATACAGTCCTGGTTTTGACGGATTACCAAGTATTTCCAAAACATTACAAATCCCAGTCTGTTTGCAAGGATGATCTTTGGCACCGGTCATTTGGAAAAGTAGATTTGGCTTGATGAACGAATCAACAGATTCAAAAATATTGCTAATGGGACGGAAATAGCAATTCGTTGCGTCTTGAACTTGAGAATTGTTGGAGAATAACAAAGTACTAAGATCCATCGGCAGTTGAAGTGTAGACTCCAGCTTGGTACGTAAATCACGAATCTTGAATGAACCACCTTTAGCAATAACTGTATGAGCGTGCTTTTCGAATAATACCCTATTAAGTTGGCCAGTTCCACCAATTTCTCGAGCAACAGAAACAAATCTGATAAGATGATCTCGGTCTCTGGCATAGACACGGCTGTAAATTTCATCAACCACATAGTCAGAAGCAAACTGATAAGGACCACTGTGGAAGCCATCCTTGACTGATCTATAAATCAAACAACTTGAAGCGTCTAGGTTTTCACCATATTTACCAAAAGACTTGACAATTGAATCGATATTGGAAATATTTAAAGCTTTGTCGAGAAAATCCTGTTGTTCTTTTACCAATGCATATTTAAGAACATAACGAGCAATTCCTCCCCACTTCAAATACAGACTTTCAATCAATTCTTGTGGAACTGTAGGAAACAGCATTGAGCGACAGGAATGCAATTCTTCTTTTGACCACACTGGCATATACCGAATGTCGCAGGACCCCTTGGAAAACCGATGCCAAATTTCCCAACGAGGTAAAGTAACAAGAATGGTCTTGGCATCAACATCAACAGGTGCCGAGCCATCAACAATGTAGAATGTTGACGAGGAATCCAAGATTTTCCAAAAAGCATGCTTTCCTCCTTCGAATACACCATTGGGAGTAAGCAGATATCTTTTTTGATTAACTCCACTCTCATACACGACTGTAGCACCAGAGCGAGCAAGATGCAACAGCAAAAAGTAACCAAAATATGTCTTGCCAATTCCAGGATTTCCAAGGATGATCAAATGACGTATATCAGCAGATTGCACAATAGATAGTGATTTTTCAAGAAGTTTAGGATAACAAGGACGGATGTAAATGGATGATCCGATTGAATGGTTTCCAAGGATGAATATGTCTGCTGGAAGTTGGACAACAGTGTTTCCTTCAAGAGGGTTAGGGTAGTTTGTGAAAGCAGTCCAAAAATCCAGTAGTGCGGGTGGGGCTGCTGCAGATGCTGAACCTAGGTAAGTTTGAGTAGGTTGTCTTGGAGGTGATGGTAAACAACCAATAACAACACAAGAACCGTCTTGAGTAAAGTATTTTTGAGGAAGAGAGTCGAGTAAAGCCCAGGTGTTGATTAGTTGGTCCTTGTTGCTGTTGGTGTATAGTTGGAGTTGAGGAGCATCAATGTCAGCCATAGCAGGATCATACTCAGACTTGATAGTATCCTGAACGTCACTCAGGTCTTCAAAGTCAGTCACATTGATTTCAGTAGAAATAGTGCCATATTCAACATTGAGGTATCGTTTTGGCATTTTATGAAAAGAAAAAAGAGTAAAAAAGCAATTTATTTGTCAAATTGTAAAACAAAAATCGACTTTTTAATCGAGTCAAAATAACAAAATTTTGGGATATTTCAAGACAATTCACACGATTGAAATATTTGGAAATTAGTCAAATTTACACCAGAATTAATGTTTCATTAATGTGAGACATTACTAGTGTGAGAGTGTTGACTTGCATTGTGTGAGACATTAGTAGTGTGTGAATGTGAGACATTTCTGGATAGTTTAACAATCAAAAACCATCAACAATGACGTTTGAACTGGAATTCACATGACTTTCTTGGTTTCTTCCATTTTATAAACACACTCACTCACTTGTTAATAAACAACACAATCGAATATTGATTCATTCCTTCACATCTTCAATCAACTGCAACACACTTGACAATAATGACAACCATCAATATGCCATCATATGTTCACAATCTTCAAATTCAAAAGTCAATTTGAAAAACCCATTTTTAAGCATCTACATGTCTGCAATATCAGATTTGTGGCTGATACATAATAGGTTGCCAATAAAAGTCGACAAAGTGAGCAACTGCAATGTGCCTTGCTGTATGATAGTAACATATCAGAAATTATGAATGCTTTCAAAATCAAAAGTCTGCAAACGATGTCACTGCTGGCTTGTAGCCTCTGTTTACAAACCTACAATCAACATATTCACTGGATTCGTATAATGGTAAATGCTGAACCACAAACCGCTGATGATATTATTATGGACGATGCTCATATTACTGGAAATCAAACGATTGGTGCAGTTTCAGATGCTGTTTCATCACACAGAAAGTCTTGCTACAGAGTCTGAATACAATAGCAGTGAATCTGCAGTTTGACCAACACAGTCAATAATTATCGTTTCAAAGTCGAATCAAGTGATGATGTTGCTGTTTCAGATGCACTCAATGTCATGAATGCAGTAACATTGTAACCAACTCAAACCATTGATCATGAACCAATTTACCGTGTCTTGATAAAAACACTGATAAACCATCATTCATACATGAGCTTGTCAAAAGTATGAACTGATTGCTGATCAGATGTTTAAAGTGGAGCTCAAAACAGTGCAATTCAATGTGCAGCTTTCCAACGACTTTCCCGCTACAAAAAATACAGTCTTGGAACTCAAAGTGTACATCAACAATACTTGTGTGTATTGACCATCAATGATGTTGTTGGTGTAGCATACACAATGTGCATTGCAAAAACGCTTGTTTGTTTGCTGGAGCTATTTCAAGCAAGCAAAAATACTAAAAGGTTCAGTTTGATGAATGTCTGGTGTATATTTGCAATGAATTCAAACTCGAGAGATTGTCGTATTTTGCATACAAGACATACTACAATATATTACAACAATATCGTGTATTTCAATATGCACCCATTCGATTTACAACAGTGGCATAAACATCATCACATTTGAACAATGGTTCAGTCGTACAAAGTCCAATAACAGCCATGAATTGTATCAGACATGAACATACTGGTGCAAAATTCACATCAAATAACACACCGCAACAAACATGTTTCTGGTAGATGGTGGAATTGATGTCATTGATTTTCAAGTACACGATATTGGTGTTGAATGATTCAATAAACTATACTCGTCGACTTTGTGTACTTTTTTCAGTTGCATCGTTTCTGATTCCGAGTTTAAAGCATAATAGTTGCGACAGCGCTGTTGTCCAATTTGCTTGTTTTGTGAATAGTAATCATGATACCACTTGTTTGACGCTTCCTGTTGTTGAACTGGATATGGATGTCAAATATGGATGCCAAATATGAATGCATTGCAAGTAATTGGTGTAGTTTTTGATCGAGTCAATGAATGGCATTTATAGTTGCTCTAGAAAACAAGTTGTTTGAAATGTCCTGTCATATGTCATATATTTTGTTGTTTTCAGGTTCACTAATTGTTGATAATGCATCCAATTGATTTCTGTTTTGACATTGCTTATTTGTCATTGTTGGATCTGGGTTTCTAGATTCAGTAACAAACGTTTCAGCAATTTGGATGTGTTCAAATTCATAATACTTGCAAGTCTGAATTATTTGATCATCATCTGAAATTGGATACGAGTAATCATTTCCACTGACCACAGTATACATAGTATACACAGCATTACTGTATATTGACTTGTATTTTACTCAAAGGTTTGTCCATTCAGTATTCCAACACAATTTCCAACATTGATTGAATGGTTTGCAGTGTTTGTTTTAATTGAACCACTTGATGGATCACTTTCATATCTTGATTCAGCAATATCACCAACTGCACAATGATGGATGTGATTGTAGTCAAACACAATATATTGCAAGGCATTAACGTATTGGTTAGTTTTAGTATATTATTGATAAAATGCAATGATGATTTGTAATGGGGTGTTAAATCCTTCAATCAAATATTGTCTGTTGTGATTTCCAACATTGACAGTGACATGGCAAACACATTTTGCTTGTGACAGACTTTGAACAAGTGTATTGCTCCGTTTGTTGTACAATACACGACATGGTCAGTTGGTGGTATCATGCAACTGACAAGTGATTGCAAGTATGACTGATAGTTACAATCAACACTGGTTGTTATCAGGTCATTGATGTATATGGAACAAACCATGTCAATGTATCAATCAACAATCCAGTAACTGTCGATGTAATATCCAACGCAGTATACACAATCAATGATATGGTTGTTGATCCATTCACAATACTCGACAAATACCAACACATCAAAAAGTTTAAATTTATTCAAAATCAAATTCATCGACACACCATCAATCCGAATCCGGTTCTTGAAATTTCAAACCACGCCTTTTCATAAACTGTCTCAATTGTTTTTTAACACTGTGTACTCTTTTGCTTGCATCTCTATACTCTTGTTTCAATTGCTTTTGAACGTTTGGATCGTATCTTGATCCAGATATTTCTTTGCCCATTGCTAACGTCATTTGTTGTTCGAATTCAAGGTCTACATACCTACGATATTCTTGCCATTTGTTGTTTTGTATTTTTTTAGACAATTTAAGCCTTTGTTTTATAAGACTATAGGTTCTTTGATATTGTTCACTTAATCCAGCTATTTGATTTGAAACAGTATTAGCAGACTCGCCTTGTCCCATTGGTTGTTGTTGGTCTTGACTGGAAGTGCTTGGATTAATTATAACAAATAGTGGTCCCCAATATTTGCCAGAAGTACTTGGACTGGGTTCATCAACTGGGTCTTGACTGGGAATATTTGGATTAATTATATCAAATAGTGGTTTCCAGTATTCGTCAGAAGTACTTGGATCGGGTTGATCAATCGGTTGTTTTCGATCTCGTTTTGGAGCACCACTTGGACTGGAATCACCAATCGGCCGTTTCCGACTTTGTTTGGGAGTGCTTTGACTGGGTTGATCAATCGGCTGTTGCTGATCTTTGTCGAAAATATTTAAATCAGTTGCATCCATTAGGTGTTGCTGAGTTTGATCGGGAATACCTGAACTGGTTTTATCACCTGGTTGTTGTTGGTATTTGTCAAAAGTGTTTGGACCGACTTGATCAATTGGGTCAGGAACTTGACTGGGAGTGCTTGAACTGGGTTGTTCAATTATGCGTTTCCTGCCTTGTTTGAGAATATTTGGACCAAATACAATCACAGTTGGTCGCTGGTTTGGACCGGGAGTATTTGGATTAGGTTGATCCATTGGTTGTTGCCGGATCCGGCCGGGAAGACTCAAATCCACTGGTTCTTGCTGGTATTCATTGGAAGTGCCTGGATTAGGTTCATCAGTTGGGCCAGACACTTGACTCAAAGTTCTTGATGTTTGGAGTGAACCATTATTATCAATCGGTATCAATATTGCATTGGCGGTTGTTGCTACAGCCAGTACGAATAGAATATCAACCAATTTCATCAGATTGGTCAATGGGTTTAAACTATTAATACAAAAGTAGTGTCGATTATAGGAATGAACTCAATCGATTGTATTTATATGTTTTGTATAGCAAACCAACCCTTTAAGGTTAACCAATATACAGGGTTACTTGATTGCTTGTAATGAGCAACTATCAAACTAGACAGTATGCTGCTCCCTAATCACAATATCATATTGATCAATTTGATGATTGTATCGATTGGATTATGCTTTTACGACCCTTTTATCAGGTATATTGAAAAGCACACCCTTCATGAGTGTTGTGTAACCGCAAACGCTCCCTTTTACAACTGTACTCATCATGCAGTGACTGTATTCTGCATTGCAATATGCAATGGTTACTACACATTGACTGCATTACTTGTTTGATATACAACAACTATCATATGACACAACCGGACTATAGTGTTGAATCTACATTTTGTGCACTTTTAGTAATCATACATTGTACGATCACCAAGTTTGAACCCACATTCATGTATTGTGTTTGACTGTCAATGTTGCCAATACAACTTTGTACACATTTGTTGTATTCTGAATCACGGATACGATCGCAATCTAGTTCAACAACAATCATGACACATGTCAGTAATGCAACTGTTTATTACACACCAACACTGTTATTTGGTGGTCCATTTACATCAATATGGCTGCAAGTTGTCGTTATATCACGTATTCTGAGCATGGTTTTGATATTGCACATCCAACTCCATCACATTGTTGCTGACCCATCATTGTAACGCTGTGTGTATCCAATACTGGCATGTCACCATAACCTTAACCATAATCAGTAAAATGACACTCGAGTTGTTTACTGTAGTCAATATATACAACCCAGTGTGACTACACATACTGGATCCAGTTTGTTGGTTGTTTCAGTTGACCTTGATCCACTTTTGACGTTCTGTCCGATTGACAATACAAATGTGTCAAGCTGAACCCAAACTACACGACTCGACTGTTCATGTCAATTGGATCGTGATTGAGCTATGTGATCATGATGTGTATTCAATCAATACCATGTATTACTAATGCAATAGTATGCGTGAACATCGTGTACCAAACAACTACGATACACACTGGATTGATCCAATACATGCACGGCTTGAACATATCACACAATCAAACATGAATACACCACATTAAAAGTACATATAGTAGCAGTTTGTCACCAATGAATTGTATTCAGTCGAGTTTATTGAGAGTCTGTTTGTGACTCTTGACAGTGTGGTGGGTGTTTTCAGACACAACTACTTGATCAGTTGTAGTTAATGATTGCTAACACCAAGAGTCCTAACGTACATCATATCAACTATAAAATAATCATGGTCATCATTCATGCAACATATAGCCGATTTTATTACTACATCAGTTTAGCCATCAAGTTTCTTGTAATTAAACTTTAGCCGCTTACTACTACGACGAATACTACCACGAAAAGTATTACCAAGTCGCGACAATGATCTCCTGAGACTAGATGTTCTATCTGAACCTGAAGTACTTGGTTGTTCAGGCAATCTAACAGTATGCATCAAATTCATGATCAATATATCAATTGACACATCCACACACCAATATCAAACAACTTACTGTGATAATGGCCATAGTACTTGATCACCGTTTGAAATAATAGGATATCCATCAGTCATAGTTTCGCATCCACATCCAGGACCAAGCCCAATGCGTTTATTCTGTAAATCAAATGTGACTGCAAGATGAGTCATAAATGGAATACCAAGAACTGCTTTGTCATTTGAACCAGTTGTTACAGCAAACACCACTATAACTCAACATGTATATTAGTCAGGTTAATCAAACAACACATTACATACAATTGTCAATTATTTACATCTTGTATAATCAATTTTCTGTATATAATCTCTAGGACCCAGTGTGATCTTTACAACGGAATTGCTATTGTCATCAGTTACGGGGGTTTGAGCATGCATTACAATTGTAAACGACGGCAGCTTGCCCCAATCGATATTAAAACCGGATTCGGACATTGCGTGGTATTCCCAAAATATTCTTTTGACTTCTTTTTTGTTGAGCTTGTTACTAAACACAGTTTTTTTGACAGTAATCGCATCACTATCAAGAATAGCATCAACCAACGCTTTCACGACTACTCTAGGGAAATACATATGTATAAAACATGTTTGTATAACCGAGTACAAAGTATGTCCATGTTCCACCTTTTTTTGGAATTCAGCAGGCAGCTCCACTGGTTCGCCATTGATTAGTATACTCTTGATGTTGACAGTATGACGATCTGTTGTTGGTGATTCTACCCATGCAATACTCCTTCCATCCGTTTCGCATTTTGCAGCTATTTCCGTGTTTCCTATATTGATGAAGCTATCTGAAGTCATATCATACGGACATAGTTGAAGACTAACCTCGTTATTAGGAATGACACCATCATTGTACAAAGTATCCATTGCAGTGGCTGGTGGATGATGCTTTGACAACGAGGAATAGGCAAACCCAAATACTCCATCAAGGTTCGGACTGATACCAACTAGATCTGGTGATTGTTTTTCAACTGCTATTACTGGTAAATTGACGCCAGTTATCCCAGTACCCGGAATCGTCACAACGGCGTCGGAACTAAATCCACTATACTCTTTGCCTCTGTACTTTATAGTAACGGGTTCTCCATTCGGAGTACTTTCTGGAGCCAAACCTACATCTCTGCTTGAACTAGGAAGTGGTACGATCATATCAGAGACATCTGAATCGACTCGTAAACCCAACTATTTTAAACAAGTATGATATTGATTCAACGTGGCATGCATTGATATCAAACTACAATGCATGACATGGCATGATACATACATTGACTCCATCGACATTAAATTTCATTGTGAAACATTTGTTAACATCACCATCCAATTCAACGGGTGATCGTTTTGATAGCCTATTGCTTGATTGACTGTCAATTCCAATCGGTGAATGTAATGAAACTCGAACTGCAGCAACCGTCTGTAACGCAAGTAGAATGCATTCTAGAGTAATCAACATTGTATCGAGTAGTGTGATGAAAATGGTTTGAGTTTGGTGCATGACTGTTTTATAATTACGGTAGCTTTAAGGGTGACAACAAGCAATTTTCAAATGAACGACCACAAAAAACACGAGTACACCATATAGGGCGGACAAAGCTGGAAACACCATATAGGGTGGATTAATATACAAGCATCGTTGTTGATGCATAATCAACCTCACTAGTATGCTGTGTTGATACTCCCAATTGCGGTGATGTATCCAGTGGTCAGGTAGTGTCAGACCATTACCATGATTATGGATAATTATCATCACATATACAATCCATTACTACAGCATATACTGTCACTGTGTACCAAATATTTGACTGATTGTTTGATTGGTCATGTTTTGGATCACTCTGACACAACAGCATCCAACAGCCTGTTGCTGCAGTATTTCAAACCCATGACTTTTCCGTTGGTATGACTGCATGGTCATTTTAGGTTAATCTAGACTGTATACATCAAACACTGCTGATTGTGTCACAACATGATCAACATCAAACTCGGCAATCTGTCTCCGCTACACCGAATGAGTGACGTTGTACTATAATTGAATTGGGCATTGGCAGGTCGTTCAACAAACTGGCCGTGTCAACAGGCCAGTTTGTCATCGTGGTACATGAACCACAATGTATGATCATGCCATTCAAATCAGCATACAATCTACTGGTATATGCAAAACAACACCACCAATACAATCCAATCAAACCCAATCACAAACGTGGTGTTGAATCCAATACAAATCAAACTTTTAAACACATGATACACACTGATGGTGATGGTTGCTGACAGTCACATTACAGTGTACATGTCCAATAGTGTCCACTGTCATGTCGATTGTTGCTATCCGTGACATCCAACTGTACTTGTATTCACCAAATGTGCACAATATCTAGGGCTGACTTCCAGATGCTCTCATGTTTGGCATACAACTAGTCACCATCAGACCAAGCGTATACGCTAGTACAGCGCCATGAATCTATTGGCAAGTGGTTTCAATTTTATTCTGGCGCGTTGAGGGTTGGATGTGTACCAGACACAACGTTGTGCATGTAATTGTGATGATCACACCCTGAGTGTGTTATTCGATTACAGAATGGCACACTTTATTTGATCTAACTCTGTATTTTTAGTAACAGAACTGCATAATTCAACATGGTCTTGATAACATATTACTATTATTCAACGTGCACGTTGCAATCCTGGCATCCTCAAAGCCCATCAATAAACTATATATTTTCCTACTGTTTCCAATTGGGTTTCCTCAGTCTGATTAAAGCCCTTGACTCAAATATTCATAGTTCAAAGTGCCTGACTGTCTTGTCTCTATTGACACAACCCTAACAGTTGAATTGAGTTGAGGATATTGGAGAGCTGGGCGTCAAAAGTACGACCTTGAGTAGTCAAGTCATGATGTTGGGTTGTTGCATGTTGCTTGGATTTGTGACGGTCAGTTTTGCAATGTGTTTCAAGTACTGATTTGGACATTTGCATGACGATCTAGCATCAATTGACTGTTTGCATGCGTATTCATGGATTCAATAGTATCAATTTCATCACTGCTGGTTTCGGATTGACTATCGCATGACTTTCTCCACATGCGTCTAGGTGATCCATTTGACCAAGTCAAAGGACTGTTGCTGAGTGTGCCTTGCAAATACCTCGACTCTTGATCAATATCAAACACTGTTGCAGTGCGATCATTTAAAAAATCAATGTATCCATCAACGGATATATCCGAGTCATTGCTGTGTATGGACTCGGAGTATTCACTGTCAGTATCGGTTTGGCTGTCATCATCACACAAGGAATCCGAGTCGCATGCTTGACTCGACATAAACGATTGTTTTGCATGGCGTCCAACTCTGACAGTATCATTCATAGTATCAACATCATGCAACAGATTCTCAAGGATTCCCGACTCGAACTGATACAAACTTGAATTCTTTTGCGCAATAGGCGAATGAAGTTTTGGTTGTAGCGACTGCTGTTGAACAGACTGACCAGTTTGTCTTGATTGACGAACCAATGGCTGTTCATCACCCAATGACATGGATGAAATACCCGACACAGATCGTGTAATCCAGTCACCATCAGCACTGCAGAAGTGATCAAGACGATGCAATTTGACATTGTACTGAATAGATTGGGCAAACTGAAGCAATCAAGTGGTAGTGGACTGAGAGACATGCATGCTTGACCACAGGTGTTTGTGGTACAGTAGATGCTAGTGATTGACTGGGTTTGTATGTATTGTACAAATCTCTGTCAGCATTAGTATCAATATAAAATCCTGACATGAATGTTTCTAGTGGTGTAGTTTCAATTGTTGCAAATACAAAACAACATTGAATTCAACATTGTGTTGCATATGAAGCCAGTCATATTAAACCAATTGCTGCAAAACAAGTGTTGTGAAGCTGCTTGAACATTTGTCAATTTTAGTAATCGACTGGATTGTTGAATCGATAAAACCAGTCAGCTTATTAGTCAAATCTATCAACTACAATGTTGAATATATTCAGAAATACAGTCGGATATCAAACCCAATTGTCAGAGTGGTGTAACAAGTGTTTATAGCTTACCAACACTATAAAATTGATTTCCACAAACCAATCGTGTATTCAATATGAAATGTCAAGGTGCAAGTATTATAGTATATGTAAAAGTCGAATGACATGCAAAATTATTGCAGTTTATATGATTTACGTATATTTTGATGCAACATTGATTGTGATCTAGTTGAATGTCACGGATAGCAACAATCGACATGACAGTGGACACTAGTGGACATGTACACTGCAATGTGACTGTCAGCAACCATCACCATCAGTGTGTATCATGTGTTTAAAAAGTACTCGCATGCATTGGATTCAACACCACGTTTGTGATCGGGTTTGATTTGATTTGTATTGGTGGTGTTGTATTGCATATATCAGTAGATTGTGTGCTGATTTGAGTGGCATTATCATCCATTGCGGCTCATGTATCATTCTGATCGAGTGAATTTAACCCATTTCATCCAAATAACTGCTTGAAATTATCAATTCCATCAATAGAAATGCAAGATCGATGCAGTATGAAAAAACTTGCTGCATCTCGTTTATTCTGATAATTTTCAATTATAATGCCGAGTGACCAATCCACGAGTTCTACTAGAAATACAATCTGTAGTTTCTTTTGCAAGTGTCTCGCATGCAATGTCGGGTACTGCTGCAGTATCACTAATAAACCGAACAGTAGGTTTACTAGACTGATTGCATTCGACAGTCATGTTTGTAATTGGATAGTTCAACTGTTTTTGTACGCTTTCTGAACAATGCATCTCATCTTGACGAAATATTCCCATAGTTTCCATATTCAATGCGCACACACCACGCAAAAAACTTCGTTTCATGTCTTCCTGCTGTATGTGCTGCTTTTCTATTGACAAATGTAACTGCATTTGGGTTTTGTTGAGTTTCTTGGACAACTATTTACGTTGCATATATCAAATTTGAATTCAAAATGGATTAAATATACAACGTATTTTTGGCATTCACTGATTTACATAAACTAAACTAGTTGTTCAACAAACTACTAGTAGACTGCAATTTGAATTTCCGATGCATCATGGTAGTTTTGTGCTAGTAGATTTATTAAAATAGTACATCCATATCAAAACATACCTGTGCAATGCGACTCTCATATTCGGCCGACATGGTTTGCATATGCTTTTCTGCTTCCATCTGGAATATTGGATTTCAAATTAATAAACATCATACATCAAGTTTCACAAACCCAATTGACTAGACGTACTCGGATTCTGTTTTCAGTTGCCTTTCGCCACGTTACTCCAGCTTCAGAATGCCATCCCAATATAGCTTTCTGCGTCATGGTTTTTCTATGATGTCGAACAGCAATATGCATTGCAAATTTTCTTTTCCTCAGTTCCATCTGCCTAACTTTCCACCTACCGAACCATTTTTCAGTTGCAAGTTGATTGCGCTAACGTAGATACCAATACAATAAATCACATTTTAAAATAATCGTGTGCAAATCTACAGATCCCCAACTTTGCTCATGATACAAGTTTGGGTATATTATTGAATTGGTTGCAACTACACAACCAAATAATTGTCAAAATACCTTGCGGGTTAGGAAAGCTGTTGCTGCATTGACTACTTGAACATAATCCACCAGTTTTTTGTCGCTATGATTTCGAGATTTGATCACAGAATCCATCTTGCCATTCAAGCCATCTAGTTCCAACTCATGTGCTTGTCGTATACTATCGAGTTCTGCTTTGTGATGCTCGTTTATCCTGTTTCTTGAAATGGTATAATCAGCCTGTTTATATCATTGGTGTTGACTCAGTTAGACATGTTGCCAGACCATATTACAGATTTGATGACCATTTAAAAACACGAGTTATGGTTGGGTGTAAATCAAACCGTCATATAAATGTAATACATGGCAAGATCTAGGAACAACCCAAATGATATTTGATTACCAATATAGCCTGACGAAACAATACTGTCAGTTTATCCAAACCGTTTCCAAACGCAGCATCAATATCCAAATTACACATTTCGGCATGCAAATCAGCAGTATTGGCTGAGTTGACAAAGTGCATGGTTTCTGGGACTATGCTTTGTACCAGGACTGGATCTGTTGCGATTATTGGATCTTGTGGTATTGCCATGTGATTGTTATGCAATGGGTTTTGATTAGGTGATGTTGGTGGGTTTGAACAATATGCACTCATCTGTGTGCTGAGATTGGCAAGTGTTTGAGTCGGATTCATAGTGTTTGCTATATAATGCAAATTGCCACAAACCAAGCAAACGTTGAATATGTCAGTCATGTGTAGAATTGATAATATTAGTTAAAGAGTAATCAAAATGGCATTCAGCAGACTGAACAATGACATGATAATTGGTAGAAATAGTTTGAATTCACAATAGATTATCTTGGCTTGAAACAACACAGTAAACTAGTCACAAATATTCAAGAATATCTTAATTGATATAATCTACTAAAACAGCAAGAGTGCAATACAATTGGTGCAAAATAAAGTGTTTGATTTTGCGTGAATGTTACGAGTTTGCATTCAAACTCAGATGGGCTTAAAACAAAAGTCAAGAAAACGACAACGAGCATTAGACGATGAAGTGTATGAAGTCGAGGCTATTGTTGATTTTAGAATCAATGAGGTGTGTGGGGTTGCTTTTACAGACAGTTCAACTGTTTCTACAACCTTGTCAATACATACTGCTGGTTATACTATTATGAATGGCAGTCTGCATATCAACCACACTGGACATTCGTCAATGATAAAGAACACATGTTGATGCTTATCATAGAGTGATGGCTGTATTGCTTCAACACATACCTTGTACAGCAGTACTACAACCATCCGAGTTTTGTAAACTGGACTATTGACATCCTGCTTAAACACTCGACTCATTCTCGACAAGCATACCAACCCTTGTTTATTGCCTTTTGTTTCAGTTCATTTTACACCCCAATACAACTACTCTAACCTTCCAGCCTCTTTTTACTACGACTATTCGTTGTTGATATACATTATTGTCCGAATAGGGAAAAGAGCAATTCTTTATCAAATGGAAGGGTTATGCGTCTGTAGAAAACACCTGGGAATCAGCTGGTATGTTATTCCAATCTACAACACATGAACTCTAAACACGCCTTTTGTTCAAATGTCGCCAAGCAGATAATGTCTGCAGCCATGTAGTCTACTGCATGCTCAAATTTCTCATGACTATCCAATGATTTGAACATTGCACAGTTTTAATATCAATTGTTCCACAAGTATGCTCTTGCAGTGAATTTCACTGACATTGTTTATTTAATCACCTGTGCCATTGTGACAACATATAGATGTGGTAAATGTAAGTGTAGCATGCATTGTCGTACCAAATGGATGAGTAATCTAACCCGTTTTTGATCATTGGTTCAGGCACCGATATTAATAAAAAAGTTTTGGAATCAGCATCCAAAATTTAAAAATGCCACAAAATTGTCCGAATCTACCCATGAATTGGATACCAACACTAAATTACTCAAGGTGCCTGGAATACATCATGCAGTGTTGTTTTTATGAATAGTATGCGTTTGAAACGAGTTTGGCTAATTCTAGTTTACTTGTCCATCAAAAATAACAGTCTCAAAAAAACACTCTTGGTGTGTACTGTTGTCTGCAACTTTTTGTGTTTGATATGATTTGTGATGGGCTTGATGGTTTCCGTGTATCCCGATGTGCCCATGTCTAGTAAGACTAATGCATATACTATGCCAACCGTGTTTAGCTAAAAGCAAGACTAAATCCCAAAAATCCAAACCAGGCAACAAAAGAAATTCAGAGTCGGACTCATTCACAAAACAGGATACTGTTGATACTGATGAACAAGGTACGCATCCACTGCAATATATTTGCCATTTTTGTCAATCCAACTCAAAGCGTGATCACTTGAAGATATATATCAAGAATATTGGCACTGATATAGTTTTTATTTGTATTAACTAAACTTGGTTTTAAAAGACGATCTGAGCAAAGTCTATCATTTGATTGACTCGTTAAGTCGGGCTGTACTTGACAAAGCCTCGTGGGAAAACGATGTTGTAAATATCGAAACTATGGAAGCATCTGCCACAGGTGAAGATGATCTTGCTGTTTACATCAACTGGAAAAATGGCAAAAAGACGGTTGTATCCAGTAAAGTAGCCAATACCAAATGCCCACAAAAGGTGAATGGATTACTATTTGTATTTACCATTGTCTTGAACAGTGCGTTGGATAGGGTAGCGTGCTAATCTCTTGATCCTGTTTTAGATTATCAAATTTTACGAAAATCATATCAAGTTTGGATAAATACTGCAATGTTTTATAATTTGGCTATTCAGCCATTGTGTTAGAAACTATAAAATCGAGAGGGAAGTCGAGGCAAAGACCAGGTGCTTGTACTAGTTGGAATCGGGTAACACATTGATAAAACTCATATTTTCTTGAACCACCTGTTTGTTTACTCTTGTTTTCTTTTCTCTTTACCTACTATTTCAACTTAAATTCTCGTCATGGAAAACTATGTGGAAGCCCTCTAGAATGTCATTCAAAACATGCAGAACGAAATCGCTGCCCTGCGCGCGGAGCGCAGTATCCCACAAGTACAGGCTGCGTTGAGCATACCTCCCCCAGACAGGATAACGGAGATCGCTCCAAATTCACAACTTTTGTCAGCCAGTGCAATTTGGCCATGAGAATGCACACGACCCAGTTCCCATCCGACCAAGCGCGAGTCGGATTCATGATCAGCCTGCTCACAGGCCCTGCTGCGGAATGGGCGATGCCGTTACTCGCGTCCAATGACCCAGTTCTAAACTCGTTGCCGGAGTTTATCAATCTATTCAGACGGCAATTTGATGATCCTGACAGAGAGCGCACTGCTGAAGCGAAATTAAAAAACTTCGAGCAAGGTCAACGCTCTTGCGCAGATTATGCTACCGAGTTCCTGCGTCTATCAGCCGACACAGATTGGAACGACGGAGCTAAGATCTTTATTTTCCGAGG